CCATCTTCACCAACAGCAACATCAACATACCAAACCCCCAGACACGAGCCAACCAGAATGCATAGCCTCATTAACATCTCCCCAAGGTATCTATCTATACGTACAACCCACCCTCCATCGTACAACATCTTCCCCGAATCCATCCCTCATCTCAAACAGCAAGCTTACTCCGAGGCCGGCTTCTCCTCTCCCACTCCCGGGGCGCAGCACGTTCTTCTCCTCAAACAGCTTCGCCAACTCGCCATTCTGATGCATGGAAACGAGGATATCGCAGCCGCCTACGAACTCCTTGTCGACGTATAGCTGGGGGATCGTTGGCCAGTCTGAGAACTCCTTGATGCCTACACACTGTCAGCCTTTGCCCCCCTTCACCAAACCCATACCGCCATCAACAAAAATGAAGGGGATGGGGAACAACATACCCGACCTCAAAGCATCATCTTCCAAAACATTAAACGCAGTAAACTTCCCCGGATCCACCCCCTGCAAACTCAAGATCTGGATACTCGCGCGCGAAAACCCGCACTGGGGCGTCTCGGGTGTGCCCTTCATGAAGAGCACCACGGGCGCCGAACCGACCGCTTCGGTGATGGCGGTCTTGGTCTCGGCGGAGAGGAAACGGCGCGCTGGGAGGGGGGAGCGAGTGAAGGCCGAGGGGATGGAGGGGCGGGCGGCGTGGCGGAGAGCCTGGGGGGGAGAAGGTTAGCTTGGGGTTCTTTGATCTGGGATGATGGAGAGAGTCGGGGGGGGGAAGGGTACCGATTGGAAGAGGGGGCGTGCGAAGGATGCCATTGTTGTGTGTGCGTGGTGTTTAGGTGGTGATGAGGTTGGAAAATTGTTGTGGTTTGGATTATAGATATTATCCGTATTGTTGATGGCGATGGAGTGGCGAATCAGAAGACAGGGAATGCAAGGCTGAAATCACAGATTCGGGAGGGGTTAAATGGATGGGGATTCCCCCTGGGAATTTGAGAGGGGTTATTGTCTTTTTGACTTTTGTCTTTTCGACTTTTTGACTTTTTGTGTTTTTGTCCTTTCTATTTATCTGGGTAGGAGTGAGGGTATTCGTACAAGAGAGAGGGCCGTTGAAAGGCGTGGATATGGCGGCGGAGATACTCAACTTTACTGCCAGTTGCACGACCACCACTGTCACTTATCACCGTTTAACGCATCAACCGCCAACCATCAACGCCAACCATCAACCGCCAACCATCAACGCCAACCATCAACCGCCAACCATCAACCGCCAACCATCAACCGCCAACCATCAACCGCCAACCATCAACCGCCAATATCCTCCTCCATCGTCAATCCTCGTCGTCAATCATCAGACAGAATCAATAGCATTGTCATTGTGCACTTCTCTGATCCACGTGCTGTTTGTACCTGCTGACTGATTCATTATGTCTTTTCGACTCGGCGATTCGGCAGCTGGAACAAAAGGGCTACGCTCGGCTTGCAACGGCCTATATCGACCTTTTGATTCCGCACTTTGGGATGGATTTACCAATCGATATGAACATCATCTCCGTTGCTGAATTGAAGGGCCAACGAGGCCAAGCAAAAAGGGGGGCAGTCACCTGGTATCAATAGATATAAGTGGCTGTCCATTGATTGATCTTCAAACGCCTCCATTGAAGGGTTTTGTGTTACCGAGGAAAGGGTCCTGTCGACGTCATATTTTGTTCCGGCCCAGCACGCGTCTTTTTCTTATCGAACTTTCGCCGCCCACGACCACGCACGACCACCGAGAAATTAATTCTGAAACTACCGGACGAGCAGAGGAGTATGCAAAATATAGCCTCGAATAGGAGACGAATAGACCACGTTGAAACACACCGTGCCGCCGAGATTCTTACAGAGATTAGAGCCAATGGACTAACTGGCCTTCCTACCATCTTAGCTCCCGCACCAGAAAGTTGCGCGTGACCCGCCTTCCGTCTTTCCTCCAAGGCCGGTGGCTAGAAAAGTGAACCCCAACCCCTCCTCTTGACACGCTCTACTTTTTTTCTTTACCTCTTCCACACATACACTCATATAACTGCAGCCATCCAAGCTCTGTTTGTCCCCATTGACTCTACCCCTCCCTCTTCTCAATTGACACAGAGAAGAATCATATCTCATCACTTCACTTCGCATACCATCGGGCGATAACCCCCACCAACAACCCCTCATGTCTCCCTCCGCCGTATCCGCCACGCCTCCCCAGGCCGTGGTGCAGGGAAACCCCGACCTGAGCGCCGACGCCGTCAAGGCCAAGCTCAGCAGCGCCGCCTCCCTCGCACCCCTCGACGCCTCAAAGCTAACCCGCACCCGCACCACGACCCCCCGCACCGTCCCCGCCCTCGACGACCCCATCCGCAACGTCTCCTCCTTCGCCACCGACCACATGATAACCTGCACCTGGAACGTCAACTCCGGCTGGGGCATCCCTGAACTCAAGCCCTACGGCCCCTTCTCCATCATGCCCACAGCTTCCGTCCTCCACTACGCCACCGAGTGCTTCGAGGGCCTCAAGTGCTACCGCGGCTACGACGGCAAGCTGCGCCTCTTCCGCCCCGACTGCAATGCTAAGCGCTTGCTCATGTCATCTGCGCGCATCGCGCTCCCCACTTTCGACACTGCTGAGGTGGAGAAGCTGATTACCGAGCTCGTGGCTGTGGATGGGGATAAATTCCTGCCTAAGTCCAATGCGGGGAAGTTCCTCTACCTCCGCCCGACGATGATTGGCACGCAGGCTGAGCTGGGGGTGCAGACGCCTAACGAGGCCATGCTCTTCATCATCGCGACCTACATGCCCGAGCTCTCCGAGACACCCGGCGGCATGAAGCTGCTCGCTTCCCAGAACGACATCGTGCGCGCGTGGCCGGGGGGCTTCGGATTCGCCAAGGTAGGCGCGAATTACGGGCCTAGTCTGATGGCGCAGCAGGAGGCGCGGAGGTTGGGGTATAACCAGGTCCTCTGGCTTTTGGGGGATGAGGCGCAGGTTACGGAGGCGGGAGCGAGTAATTTTTTCACGGTGATGAGGACGAAGGAGGGGAAGTTGCAGTTGATTACTGCGCCGTTGGGGGATAAGGTTATTCTGGATGGTGTGACGAGGAGGAGTGTGATTCAGCTTGTTAAGGAGAGGTTGGCGAAGGAGGGGGGGAGCTGGAGGCGCTGGAGGTGGTGGAGAGGCAGTATACTATGGGGGAGATTGTGGAGGCGTCGGAGGAGGGGAGGTTGATTGAGTGTTTTGCTTGTGGGACGGCTGTAAGTTTATACCCCCGAAGTGTGGAAGCAGATGGCTAATGCAGAAGCAGTTCTTCGTCGCACCAGTGTCCAAAATCCACTTCCGTGGCGTCGATATCGATGTCCCAATGGCCCAGGGCGAGGTTGGGGATTACACCAACGTCATCAAGAACTGGCTCGTGGATATCATGTATGGTCGCGAGGACCACCCATGGGGCGTGGTTGTTGAGGAGAAGGAGGTTTAAGGGGGGTGTCTGTATATGATGAGGGATGAGATAAGATGGAGATGATGAAAGAAAACATCCATGGCGTTTTGTGAGGGAGCTTTTGCCTCCTGGAGGTGGTTTATCGAAGCGGAAGATTTTGATAGACTACGCCTGATGTTTTGTGGATGGACATGGAAAATGGGCGGAGGTTTGAGATAAATAAGTTGGGTGGTTTTTTGGTTATAGACTATGAATATACGATCTATCCATAAAATCTCTCATACTGGATTGTTTGTTATGAAGCATGGTGTAGGAGATACTGACAAGGGGAAGTGGTGTAGAATGAGTAAGATGCCTTCTAAATAATATAATAAGTATGACATTATTAAGAAAATCTAGTCCGAGGACGTCACGATATAGCCATATCCGGGTTACGGTATGGTGTATTGGGTAATTTTAATATAATTGTAATAGATATAATAAATTCACATACTTCAACCCCACGCTGTCTCGAAAATAGCATAGGAATAGATTCCCATTCCGAACTGATGAACCTTGCAAACCCCCAACATCGATGTGCCATTCGAAGCACACGAACACCTGCTAGCCCACTGAGGCCGACATGCTCACGGAAAAGGTTAATGCTACAGCTCCAAATACCACAGCTCCAAACCGAGCCGCCTCCGTCATGCTCGGGGCGGCTGAGAAGCCGGATGGTTTCGGTGATAGGATAGTGACGGTGACAGGATAGTGACGGTGACAGGATAGTGACAATAGCAAGCGGCAACAAGAAGCAGCTATGGGAGGCGGTAAACACACGCAGCAACGACAAACAGCAACGGCAACAACACCTGGCGAAGGATACTGCACTGTTAGTGTCAAGAAGAAGTTTGACGACGGTTGATGCCTCTTAGCAGTGGCCCAGTATATCGGCGTCTATCGGTTAGCATCCATTACCTCAATCTGCGGTTGCTATCTAGCGGGGCTACAGAACCTTCGTCCTCTTGCTACCAGCGCATTCCTTTCTACAACCCCCTACATTCGTCTCTCAACTCTGTCAGGAGGCCTTGTAATACTACTTTGCAGTTTCTAGGGTCTTGAGATGCTGTCCCAAGCATCATAATGATATAATTAGAATTAGATTGGTTTATATGCCAGTCAAGAGGCGTGCCAGCCGAGGGTATTACGGTGTTCGTCTGGCGCTTTCCATGGACGAGGGTGGCTAGATTTGTTATTTGGAAATAGATGGGCTGACATGTTACTTCTCTTTATATTTTCCTCTATACCACCAGGATTTCCTCCTCATCTGTCAGACAGCTTTCCATTTTTATAAGAGAGTGGTGGTATCAAAGAGACGGTGGATGGCCGAATCCGCCGTCTCGGTGGGGTCGTTGATCCGGCACCGGCCCCAGCCAATCCCCCACGCTGCCAGACGAGGCTGATTGATCAATTCGGTTACGCACTGCGATAGTGAGGAAATAATATAATAATCACGGAGCTGCACTCGACACGACGTACGTCGACTGAAGCTTTACTTGTCTTCTCAGCTCTATACCTCCCTCGGCAATTCCCAGTTTGACGATACCAAAGCGGATCATCCGACGTCTCCGCGCAGATAGGAAACGGAGCTACCCCTCCTTCGAACATCAACCCCGCCATAAATCAATCACAACGCTTCCACACCTCTCAACCTACAAACAACAACCCAAACAACCTCACCTCACCTCTCCAGCCTCTCCGACCCCCCCAACCCGCCAACACCTACACTCACACCCCCTACCCCGCCTCACAATGCACCTCACACCCCTCCCCCCTCTCCACCCCCCCTCCCCCCGCCGCGCCTGGCACTCAACCCCCCACCCCACCCTCCCCCTCCTCAGCACCTCCCTCGGCAAATCCGCCCAAATAACCTCTCTCCGCACCTCCACCCCGCACTCCATCCTCGAAGGCGGACACACCCGCTCCATCCGCTCCACGGCTTGGAAACCGCATCTCCGCCCCGGAGAACTCGGTTTGGTGACGGGTAGCTTTGATGGGACTGCTGGGGTGTGGCGGAGGGACGAGGGGGATGACGGGGAGAGGGAGGATGGGGAGGATTGGGAATTCAGCGTCGTCCTCGAGGGCCACGATGCTGAGGTGAAGAATCTGGCGTTTAGCCCGTCGGGACAGTATTTGGCGACTTGTTCGAGGGATAAGAGTATTTGGATCTGGGAAGAAGTCGACGGGGCTGATGAATGGGAGACGGTCGCGGTGCTGACGGAGCATGAGGGGGATGTGAAGTGCGTTGCCTGGGCCCCAAGTGAGGGCGATGAGGGAGAGTGTTTGGCGAGCGCGAGTTATGATGGCACCGTGCGCGTGTGGAGGGAGGATGGGGAGGGGGAATGGGGGTGTGTTGGTGTGCTGGAGGGGGGGGGGGAAACGGTTTGGGGTGTTGCTTGGGAGGGTGCTGCACCGGACTCCCAACCAGCCGCCGAGTCTGAGCAGGAAGCAGACGCCGAAGCACCGAAGCCTAAACACCGCCGCCTAATAACTTGCTCGGCAGACACCACACTGCGCGTCTGGAAGCGTGTCGAAGCTGCTGAGGCGGAGAGTGGCGGCATCCCATCGACGATGCGCGCTGCTGCTCAGGGGGAGAAATGGGTGATCGAAGCGACGCTGCCCGCGGCGCATACAAGGGCTGTGTATGCGGTTGCGTGGAGTGAGAGGACGGGACGGGTGGTTAGCTGTGGGGGGGATTCGAGGATTGTGGTGTATGGGGAAGTGGAGGGAGGCGCGGACGGTGTGGTGGAGGGTGGGGATGGGGAGAAGGGGGAGGGGAAGGAGGGGGAGAAGGGGGAGGGGAAGGAGGGGAGAAGGGGGAGGGGAAGATGGGGAATGGGAAGTGGAAGATCCTCGCCACAGCGGAGATGGGTCATGGACCGTATGAGATTAATCATGTTACGTGGTGTCAGCGGTTTGATGGGAGGGAGGGAGAGATGGTGGTTTCGAGTGGAGATGATGGGGCTGTTAGGGCTTGGGAGGTTAGTGAGTAGGGGGTTGTTGTTATGAAGGGGTTTGTTGTTATGAAGGGGGTTGTTGTTGTGCAGGGGGTTGATGATGTGTGGATGGTTGGGTAGATTGCATGGAAGGAGTTTCTTGGATCTGGGGGGGCGTGGGATAGATCGTGGATTTGGTGGTGTATGGGGGGTGGTATATGGATATGGGATGAATTATGTGCGTGTGCGTGTCTGTATATATGCTAAGCCTGATGATATGTTCCGCCCTTGGGATTTGGGGAGCCCATAGCCAAATGCTACCCGGTAGATACGAAATGGGAATCGAGTTTGCACATCTACCCACCAGGCGCCAGGCAACAAACGCTCGTACCATTTACTCACCTTCCCCTTCCCATATTTGATCTCCTCTCTCGTCTTCGGCATCTCGCCTCGGCCCTGAACTCGGGAGTATAAATCACCACCGCCCACCTCTCCCGCCCTCCTCAGCATACCACCTCACCTACCGACCATCTAGACGGCCCAGTAGGCTTGTAGTCATTGGCCATGCATACACGCAAAAGCTTCTGTATAACAGTACGGCTGGTTCATGGATGGGGGAAGAGGAGAGCTGAGGGACGAGATAGATATCAGCGATGAGCAGAAAGCAGAGGACAGCATCACACCAGCAAGCGAACGGATAACGACACGGACATACCAAAAACCCACTCACTCATCTCGGGCCGTGGAGGTCTCGGAGATGTCTGCAATCGGGGGGGTCTACAGAGAGCGCAGTACACATGGTGTGTACCTTACATAACTCCACCTCGTCCTGCACGCTGCACGGCATCCCCGAATCCAGCAATCGTCCAGAAGCCCCCATAGAAGAAGGCTTTTTTTTCCTTGTTCCGTTTTTGTGGCTTGACCGCGGCTGGGAGCGACCCGGCTGGATTGCACTGTTGAGAATAAAAAATGGAGAAGCGAACTGTAAAAGGACAGGAAGCCGGGGAGGGTGGGGCCGTGTGTGGATACGGTTTGCGAGATTTGTTATGTATAGAGTACCTTTTGCACGGGCCGCAACGGTGGAGAGGGGGATTGTGGTGCAATGGTCCGCAATGAGTGCGTGCGCCGTGCGTACTACTGCCTGTAGTTTGTAATTTGTTGGCGTGTACTCCGTAGAGCGGGTTTACTCCGTACCACTGTGCATTATCGATTCCTCGCCTCTAGCAGACAGATAAAGCCCTAAACCACACACGTGCTCCTCTCCGCAGTGGCGACGCTGGGGACGGCGCGACGGTGTGGGGTTGGCGGCTTGGTATCGTGTCGATTCGCTAATGGGAAGAAGAGGCAAAGGGAGGTTTGGCGGTGTTGGAGAAGTTTGGTACGCCTTGTGTTTCGGGGGATCTCTTTGTGCCCAGGACGCATCTGCTACTGTAAAACAGCTCATTTTACATGCCTGTATATAGTTGGTGTAGAAAAATCGATCAATATAGTCTAAAACCCCTTTACAAACCCTGCACCCTATGAACTCCACTGTTTCCTAATTAGGAAATAAGACTATAGACTCTCAACAGTCATCTGTTAAAGACTTACAGCAAGCCAGATACCTATTGTAGTTAGAGTAATTGTTAGTAATCACCTAGTGCTGTTCTGACTTTGTAATCGAAACGCCAAAGCCTATCGATTAGGCAGTGTCATACTGACATTCGTTGCACTCAGTTTGCTATCAAACTCAAGAGCAAACTTGGAAATCTCCTCCTCAAACCTACAAGTCACTATACATATTTTGGCTTATCACACCAACAACAAGAGCAATACTACTCAACGATTGCTACAACCATCTATGATTCATTACACGTCATCGCTCCTTAGTTACTGGGCCGATATTACCACATAGCATATCTCTACAACCCTCTATGATTCATTACATGACATCACTCATACTACCACATGACATATCTCTACCAACTAGAGGCCTAGGAGCATGAACGATAGCTCTAAAAGCTCCTACGAACCTCTATGATTCATTACATGTCATCGCTCTTTAGTTACCCACAAGATTGGTTAAGTTATGACATAATTTGTCTATGACATAATTTGTCTATGACATAATTTGTCTATGACATAATTTGTCTATAGGGGTACTCTGACCTTGGACCTCCTTTTACTTCCTATAGGCTATGAACCTAAGAGATGGTTCTATGGGATTCTCTTACGTCGACTACAGTTACCAAGCCTGGTTAGTCATGGAAAGTCTTGGAAAATGAGAGAACTACACTCCTTTAGCATAAATAGGATTGCCCTTTCCTTAAGAAAGGGCAAGCAGGCAATACAGTAAATCGACTAGCACATACTTCCACGTCTTTTCCAAGCTTCCAAGCATTCATCTTGTTACTCCTTGTTTCTGAAAAGTCAGTGAGGTGTTAACCTCTGACTTACCCCTGAGTTCCCAGACTCAACATTTGTTGCAACTTGTCTGAACCACTTCACTACATCACACACCTGATTGCTGCGTTGTGGAATAGTCTAAGCTACAACCCTTTGGCTCTGTTTCCTAAGACAGTGTGTTGTCTTAGTAAAATCATCCCTTCCTTGGGTGGCTAGATTCTCACATCTGGTGCACCCACCATTACACCTGTGTTAACGTAGAGCCATGTGAAATAATGTAAAATCATTAGCTGCTGACTCGTCGTACAGGTACCTTGTCCATAGAGTTACAGTAAGTACAAGCAAGGCATTTTTATTGGATATTTCCTCGACGATTGTTTGCCAAGGTCTGTCTGCGTTGTCACAGTCTCTAAATATATAACAGCCGCGATAGCCACGGTATCAGAGGCTCACCCAGCTTCTTGAGAGAAAAGCGCATAGGCTAAACTTTGCATATTGTACGTGGTCTCTTCGATTTGGTTTAACTTCTATGTACTGATGAAGCAAAACGGACTCCTCGCCATACGCGCTACGTGTTCCTCACGCATCGAGCCCTCTTACGAGCGAGGAGAGAGCGGCACCGTCGCAGGAGCTCAAAACATGGCCGACGCTAAAGATGGCAACAGTGGTGGCGACCATTCATCGGGGGAGTAGGGGAGTATAGCGGTGTCGTCCAACATGCTCATATTGCCCAGAGCGGCCAGGCTAGGCTTACAGAGGAAATCACCATCGCCAAATCGCCCGGCAAGGGGCGCGATGTAGGGATAGTGATCTCCTCTGGCGACAACACCAAGAGGGATAGAGCTGAGAGAAAGGCTAGAAAGGAGGCGGCGGAGAAGAAGGCTAAAGGAAAAACAACAAATAATCGAGTTGATAGCGGTTAGAGGGCACTGTTGAAGATGGATCCTATTTTATTTGACCAATGCCTCCTTCTACACTATATAGTTGCTGATTCCCCGAATCGCCGTCGGAGTTCCTCATTATATTTGATATTATCATCAACCTTTTGTTGAACAACGTCCTCTGCATTCTCACACCAAAACTTCGACAGAACCTCCTCGAAGTCTGAATATAGTTCTGCTGAAAATGCAGGGCAGATGTGGTCCACAAGAAGAGTAAGCATAGCATTCGCCGACGATATACAATACCAATACCAAACTCCTTTTGAATCCCACGTGTCATGCATAGCTCCTGATATTGAAATGTTATGTTCTCCCAGACCCTGCTCTTCTTCCTCTAATATATCCATAAACTCCCGTCGTATTTCGCTGAACTTAATTAAGTGATCCTCTTCTATCTCGTCAATGCGTCGTCCAGTAAGCCAGTATGGTACTGCAAGCATTTCCGCAGGAAGAGCGCATATCCACTCAAGGTCGACAAGGCAAGTAAGGTTGCATTCCTTGTCGACAAAGATGTTGGAGGGATTGACGTCGGTAAGCTGCAGCAGAAACGGCCCATTACGGCGAGCACGGTTGATATATTGATGTGAGAGAGCCCGGAGTAGCATCCTCTGGGTCATCTGGGTACGGCAGTCTCCAGCGTCGTATACTGCGTTCGGGTTGTTGAGGAGGCGCTTGTCATGGAAGGTAATCATGTCGGATACGAAGGGCTCAGTAGACGCATAGGTGTCATCCTTTTGTGCTATCCTCTGTGTGCCTTCATTCTCTAGTGCTACTATTGTACATGTAAGCGGCCGGTTTGTCAGTGTCACAGCACAATCGTCGTGGAACTGAAACGATCCTATTCTCGGCTGAGGTATACGGGCGAGAGACAAGATTATGCGTGATATGCCTTGGAACAACCTCCTCCTGCAAGCCGGGTCTTCCCGTTGTGCCTCCCACGTGTTTGAAAGCATCTCACCCGTGCTTGAGTCTATATACTCAAGCAGCATATAGGGCGTACGGAAATTGCTCCTCTTCTGGTGGGGCGTATATTGTGATAGGGTAGGGTATCGAAAGAGGCTATAAAAGCACTGCCAGAACAGGCGGGAGAGGCGCACATGGAGAGGTCGGTGCTCTGCGTGGGTAAATTGGCCGAACTAGACTCCAAACAGAATTAGGAACGGCACGGAATAGACTGTAGGAAGGTGGCTCACATGTCGGCTGTCCGAGAAGCCAAAGCCGTATAAGTGAGGGATACGGATATCAGGGCACTTATCCTGCATCCACATATATGCTCCCAACTCACAGCTGAGCTTCTCATCTACCGTGCCGGGGTATATGCTTTCGGCAAGCTTGTGTGGCATCGGGCATCGAAAGATAAGTTTCTTCGATAACTTGCCAAGATTTGCCTCAATAGGTACGCAAATATTGAAGCCGCCTTGGATCCATGTCGACTGCTCGAGGACAGTGTAGCTGAGCTCACTTCCTAATCCAAGGTGATGTTTAGCAATGGCTTCAATCTCTCTTCTCTCCTTCCAAAGTTCCTGCCGGAGCTCTGCTGCTGCAGGACCGTAACCTAGCTGGCGGATGACGTTCGCTTCTACTTTTTCAGCAGATTCGAATGTGATGGGGTTGCGACCGTGGAATTCGAGCGTAGTAGGCATAGCAAAGAGCTGGTTTTGAGAGCCTGTCCTCTATACACGTCACGGAACTTTGTTGAGCATCACAATATAAGCTTTTGGTAGTATCAGCGACAGCCTCGGGATACGGGAAAACTATAATGCCGAACTTAAGACAAGGAGCCTTGTTCACGTCGGCACAGCATTCGCCCGACGCTTCAGCACGTGGTCTACGCGAATCGCCGATGCGTTAAAAGTAGCTCTCTGCCCACGTCCATCCAGCTTCCCCACCGTCTTCCCCACAAAATGCCGTCCCAAGTTCTTGTTCAATTCGAGACAGGAGAATACCTAGACCTAAAGGCAGCGTTTGAAAAACGTCCTAAAGAGGCTCAAGACATTTATACGAAGTAATTCTCTTTGGGAACATTTCAACAAGAGTGCTTTCTTTGCTTAGGGTTGTGAGTATGTTCAGGGTTCGTCTTGAGGAGAATCAAGAACGCAAGCGGAGCAGACAATACGACGTGTACTCGATGCGTGCCGCCAGGGGGCGAATCCTGGATCCATTGAAGAGCGCTTTTACACATATGGACAAGAGTTTGCTATTATCGCGCTCTACATTGCCACGAATAATAACTACAAGGTCTTCAGAGACATTGGCGACCTTGACGCTAAAGATCGAGTCAAGCTCATCAAAGACGTTATTCGCCTCCCCCAGGAGCGCTACATAACTAATTTCGTGAATGAACTCAAAAGGTTACCAGTAGTGACCGACCATAAATCTTACCTATTTGCTAGACGCCGGGGGCGAATAAAGGGTAAGTAACTACACCAACATATTTAAGCCTCTACTAATCTTCATAGAAACACAACAGCTTATTCCTCCGCTAGCAAATATACGTTCAGATGCCTCACCGGCCCCTCAACCAGCGAATCAGCCCTCTCCGATCTCTCAGGCAACAAGTCCATTAAATCCTAGATATCATATTATTATATGATATCATGATATATTGTCAGAATTATGGTGTATGATATTGTCAGCATATTACATCTTGCGATATTGTATCACGCCATATATCATGATATTAATATGGTGATATAGCAATATATTACAATACTAACAATATACCTTGCTGTCATCTACTCTCGACCCGTCGTCACTAATTCAATTATCTACCCAAGCTGTGCCTCCTCCCCTGTACCAGGATTTTAGGCACTCTAATGCCTCAACTGACTCAACTCCAAGCCTATTCCTCCTTTCAATAATTGTGAGAGCGGCACTGGAAAATAGGCGTTCAGGCTCGGCAGACATCGCTGTATTGACAGTATGTCTAATGCCATCACCGCCAGGTTGGGAAGGTTGCATGCTGTGCTGCTCCATCCACCAGGACTTTGGGTCAACTTCTGGTGTAATACCTGCCAGGCCAGTACTTGATATACTCATCAATAACTGGTGGCTGCCGCCTCTTCTGCTCAAGCCAGATTTGATGCTCAGTCTTCTCCTGTACTAGTGTAATGATGTATGACTACAGTATTCCGGCTCGCCCGGAATACGCGTAACATGCTTTATATA